CGCGGTTACGCCCACTTCCATAATTCCCATAAGGCAACGCGCGCGGTTACGCCGACGCCGACGGCGACGCCGCTAAAGCCGGAAACGGGCGCCTAAGAGCTGCGCTCTAAAACGGCTCAAACAAGGCGATGGTCCAGAGAAGACGTGCAGGGACATAGCACTGACTTTCAACTGGTTCGGTTTAAAAATAACGCACACCGGAGGTAAAAAAGGACAATATCACCTTGACCAAGTCACTGACTATGCAGTTCTGCCAGAAGAACCTAAAAACAACACAAGTTCCTTGTCACAAAGCGCTATCGATGCCAATCGGTAGCTACAATTACGGCAACATTTCAGTGTATACGCGGCATTTCAGTGTACTTAAGACGCACTCCAAATATACATAGAAGCCATGCTTCGTCTTTGTTTTCATTATACCTTCAGTGATCGAGTAATTATGGTGTTAATATCAACTGCTTTTTAAGCATGCACGGATTTGCAATTGACGAAAATAGGGAGGTGGAGGTGCAGAAATTACATGTAAAAAACTAAAGCAAGGAACTCCTACAAAAAGAATTGCAAGTACACACCAACGCAGGGTCTCTTGAATATTGATTATTAAGAGGTGTTTCTGTTACTGCTCCAAATTGTTTTCAAGAAGTTACGCATTTTAATATTTTACTTAATGCGATTCCTTTGGCAAGCACTGCTCAAAATCTGACAAAGAAGCCACGTCATAGCACACAGAAATACTGTATTTTTGCATTTTTAAGTCTCGGTCTGTACCCCATACTTACATTGATGCAACTTATACAACAGAAAGTATACGCTATATGGGCATACCGACGTGTTTCGATCACAGCGAATTTACAACAGGAAAAGCTTTCTTTGTAATCAGCCGTATCGGAATTATATACGTCTGACGAAACTAATTGTATTTTACGAATTCTGATCATTTTAAAAGTTCTTTTCACCAACGAAACCTTTCACAATTCCTGTCTCTCCTTTAAATGCACTGTGAATGAATCTCTTCGTCTGTGCTGTTCACGCGACGATCACAACAAATTGCCCAGTGTAACAGCCGCTGCTGCTGTCCGCTTTGGCTTTCCAGGATCTGGCAGAAGACCTGTTTTCCCCGCAGACTGGTATTAGCCTTTTCTGTTCTGTGTAGAGCTATATTTGTACTATTTCGGTATCTTGTCCCGGAAAAGTAGGCACTATATTTCGAAACAATTTTAGCGATAGTCATTCTTCGGGTGTTTCCCAGAACACGAATTCTGTCGGTAGCATTGCTTGTAATTACAGTTTTTCAATCAATCCTGCTACTACCGTCGAAATCTTGGAGGCAATACAAAAATTAAAACCAAAGCGATCCGTTGGTACAGATTTAATACCTAGTTTTATTGTTAAGGGGTGAGCTGATATTATTGCTCCTTTACTGGAACATGTATGTAATGTTTCGCTTAAAAAAGGTTTTTTTCCAAGCCTGTGGAAAAAGTCTGCCGTTGTACCATTACACAAAGCTGGTGACGTGACTAAGGTAGAGAACTACCACCCTATACTTGTAAAATGTACTTTTTTTAAAATTTAATGAAATATTGATGTGCACCTGTGTTTATATTTACTTCTTTCGGGCGCTGAACACCGTTCAACATGGATTTCTAAAAGGTCGTTCGGCAGAGACAAACATTTGTTCACTGCTCATTTACACAGAGCTGTTTGTTGTTGCTAGAGGGCAAGTCAATATTGGCGAAAATAATCCCCGGAGAAGGGGAAAAAGGGATACAAAGTACAAACACAAATCTTCAAACACAGCAGGTGACATGGAGAGGTTCTTCGATACCTGGACCAGGCGGATTTTTCGGTCGCGCACCAGTCACCTAGCTGTATTTGGAGATTGTGTTTGTCATTTGTCTCTCTTGTTCCCCTCCTCCAGGGATTATTTCCGTCATTCTCGTCCAGCTCGTTTACATCTTTGCATTTAATTGCATTATACTCAAAAGTCGATATTGTTTTTTTTTTTTTATTTCCCGAAGGCCTTTGATAAGGTAAACCCCAAAGGTAAAACACGGCGTACGGTCGTGTACCACTACTGCTTTGTGCACATTAAAGACCCTAGGCTAGCGGTTGTGCTGAACTGGCTAAATTTCTACTCAACAACGAATGACTCGTCGCATCTTTGAGATGGCTGACCAACTACACGCTGTCTAAGCATCCGCACAACCCCTATCATTTATTGATGATGCCCAGCAGGCTTCTAATTGTAACCGTACGTTTGTTTTAACTAATAAAAGCATTATTTACAAAGACTATTCAATTGGCCGACTTATTGTGTCACTCAGCCCCCTATATTATGTTCCCATTGTTGTCTAAAGGTCCGTTCGCTCTCTTGCAACCGAATACGACCGAGAGAGACGAGATCTATTAAAACTTCTTAAAATTTCTTAGGACGAGGTAACACACTGGAATTCTGGCGCCATCTATGCGGTGACCCTAAAACTGTATTTCACAGGAACGAAGGTTTCGCGGGATTTCCTAGGTCAAATGTGCGCAATACCTATAAGGAAGGTTCGTTTATAACGTTGACAAAAGTTTTTCGAGACGAGAAAGAAAGGATAATGCGCGAGAGAAATAGAAAATACGCCGGACCTTCAAGTTTCCACTGCTACCCAATAGATGGCGCCAGTGTGTCCTCTCGCTGTAAGAGGTTTTAAGGAACCCAGTTTTAAGAGGTCGCAAGAGTGTGGACGGGTCTTAAAGGCCCGTTCACAATTTTGCCGCCGAGCACGACCGGGAGAAACGAGACCGGTTTTTAAGCCTCTTGGGACGTCTTAGGACCGGATGCGCTGCAGCGAACCTAGTCCTAAGAAGTCGCAAGAGGCTTAAATACCGATCTGGTCTCTCTCGGTCTTACTCGGTCGCAAGAGTGTGAACGGTCCTTAACTCGCCCGCACAGAACACGTTAGAGCAGCTTTCAGGGCTTTATAACTTAAGCCAAAGTTTGTAAACCTTATTTCTGAACACCCTGCATACGCATTGACCTTCTTACCAGGTGAGAGGGGTATCCCTGAGGCGCAACACGTGTTGTTGGTTGCAGGTGTCCGTCACCGCTCAAAAAAAAAAAAAAAAAAAAAAAAAACGGCGATGCGTATCGAATATATTTCACGCTGCCTTGACTCTTGGCCTTCACCTTCCTGTGGGCACAACCTGGTATGTGTAATTACGATAACTTCAAGCCGTTGCAGTTGAAGTGTTTGCATTGACATTTGCACCCCCCCCCCCCCCCCCCCCCCCCCCCCCCGTCGAACAGCATGGCAACCGCGGGTCTTTTTTTAGCCTCTGAGCCAATCGCGTGGCATATAAAAGTGGGCTGCGCTGCTACGCAGCAAGCACGTTTTCGACAGCAAGCAGCGCTTTAGGTCCGAAAAAGTATCGTCATGAAGTTCACCATGAAGTGTCTGATGCTGTCAGTGATGGTTCTTGTGGTTTCCGCGCGCAACGAGCATCATTGCAGTAAGTTTAAAAAATACACATGCCATCGCCTTTCATTTTCTTCCGTCATATTCTTTCATCTTGCTTTATTTTGATTGGCCTTGCTCTTGTAACACTATGGTATTTGTTATCGAGAATCTATTTCTTGTTTTTGGTTTTGATAGGTGGGGTTGGATGATTCTAATAAAATCAAGTATAACGTCACGGATATTGCGTAACGGGCAGATATGACGTCACTGAATGATGTAACGTTACTGACGTATGTAAATTCATGAACATTACGTTTATGAGCTACATCGTGTTTCCAATAAATGTGCAGTAGTCTCGTACGCGTCATTTAATTTCAAAGATCACCGAAGCAGAAGTTTCGTGCGAACCGTAGCTTTCTTTTATTACATTAATTAGTTTTCTGCATCAGGTGCGCTAGTTGTCTTTCTTAATGACTTGCTTGGACCTGGTCTAAGAAACGTTACTCTTCGTCCCACCCATCGAATGCTTGGTAATGATTTAATATGGAGGGCACGAACGCCGAGGTTTATCGGTGCTTGGGATACTTCTTTCAAGATTAATTTTGCTTATTTTTAAGTCAGACAATTTAGTTAAAACATAGGTATTTCACTTATAAACAATTATTCATTTAGCCTTCCAATATTTTTCTCACACCTTAGAACACTTTTACACTCACCGTCAATTATCCTTAATATTGAGTTTGATGTAACTAAGCTTACAATGACTCACTTAGAAGTGAGCCCTTCTGATAAGCGTTTTAAGCGTGAATGTGAACAGCGATAGCACGAAACGAGTTTCAGGTATCACCATTCAAGGACCTTATGTTAATAAATGAAGCGCATACGTATGAAATAAGGTGTTCAATAAGATGACCCTGTGCTTCGACGTGTCGGTACACTCCTCAACTTTCTAACCATAGGCATGTACATTTAGCGTGAAATTGCATTCAATGTATGATAGTGTAATATTATTTTTTTCGGTGATTGCATTGTTGCTCAGAAGACATTTGCACTCTAAAAAAGCCCGTGCGTCTACTTTCCCGCAAAACGCTTGGACAGCCAATCATCGCAACTTACGGAGGAAGCTCAGCCAATGACGATGCCGGAACATGTGTTTAGACCAAAAAGCGCAGTCTGAGTTGTGACATTAAGCAATGCAAGAGTGACTTTTTGCATTGCCTAATGCCACAACTCAGACTGCGCTTTTTGGTCTAAACATATGTTTCGGCATCGTTATTGGCTGAGCTTCCTCCGTAAGTTGCGATGATTGGCTCTCCAAGCGTTTTGCGGGAAAGTAGACGCGCGGGCTTTTTTAGAGTGTGGAGTGAATGCTCACGTTGCAGGAGTCAGATATCATTCCAGGTTTTGATAATAGTCGCTGCCTGCATCAATCTTGATGGGCATCTTAATCCAGCGACAACCTCACTTCGCCTGAAAACCTAACGTCTAAATTGTTTTAGCTGTCCGCTACTGAAATCGTTGCACAAGAAATTTTACTTTAAACGAGATTCACTTTGTTCTTCTTTTGCAGAGAAGAGCGACGCCGAAATGAAGGAACTAATATCCTGCGTTATATCGAAGATTCCAGATGCTAGCAGTGTACGTACCTGAATACGCCTTGCGTAGTCATAGTCGTATTTATAACAAAATTGTTTTGTTGCGCCGATTTGTACAATAGCGCGAACCTTCACAAAAAGTGTCCAAGAATTCCTTTCAGCCTCATACCAATAATCAATCGTGTACTGCAACTTGCTTTTATATACGCTGCGGCTTTACTCGCCTTGCTAGATTTTTTTTTACAATGGTTTGTGATAACGATTCATTCATTTTGCGTAAGGGTGTAAGAAATGACTTATACATTTGTACATCTGAAGACTACTGGGTGATTTTAGATGAGATCGACCAAAGGGTGGCTGGTTGATATTTTTAAATCAACCGATGTTTTTATTTGCCATTGTCTAGTGTCTGGTATAAACGAATCCACACTTAGTTTTGACCAGAAAAAAAAAATTGGGGACAGGAAAAATCGTAAGGCATGAAGAGGTGGACAGTTGTATTTACGCGCACTGATGGAGGGGGCACGTTTGAAATTGAATAACTAAAAAGATAACGCTAGAAGAATTCTAAAACTTTTTAAAAACAAACTATGGGTACAGTTTGTTTGTAATTTAAAGTAATAATATTTATTTAAATTTTATTTATGTTTCTAAACATTGTCAAACATGCCTGCTCGAATGACAAATGGCAAAATTTGGAATCTGTATCTCATGAAATACTTTAATTAGTATCATATAATTAGCAGGTAGTGTTCTACTTACATATGGCTGTTATATAAAAAATAAGGCACCTGAGTGATACGATAGTAGGGATAAATTTAGGCAAACATGAGAAAAAATCAAACAAGAAACAAGTCCGATGCAAATAAAAAAAAACAAAAAAAAACACCACCTTCGATTTTTTTTAATTGGGTACCTTGTAATATTCTCTTTCGGCATTCATTTTTATTAAAAACATGTTGCATTATTTTATTGAGAAAGAGGACACAACTCGCCAAAGTACGGTCCTTTTTCAAAGCCTACACTTAGCGGTGCCCTATACGAGAAGTGACTCTGAGTTCCAGTTGGAGGAAACTAAAACGCATCTTTCATATATTTTTATTCAGATGAGGTCACTGACAACTAGAGCAATCGGTCACACACTAAAAGCGAAGAAGAACTATATACAGCATTTTACATACAGCGTAAAAAAAGGTATCATATTAGAGACAAGTGATTCGAGAAAAGATGATGCAGTGTGAAGTTTTACTTTCCGGTATAATTTATATTTAAAATAAAAGAAGCAACTTTACTTCCACACACAAAAATAAAGATAGAATACTAAAATCGTGTAGTTTAGTTATGTATTTCCGGGGACAAACAATTTCAGGTGAGCGGTGCCACCGCGCCGGACTGTAAGAGCTTCGATACTCTCGGTGTACGAATGGATCGTGGCAAGACGAGATATTTTATCCTGCGCGAAGATAACGTTTTGTGATTCTCATATGGTGATAAAGTAAAGATTATAAGGTATCACCAAGTAAAACAGTAGGTTAAATACCCCGTGAAGAAAACTGTGATAAATAAGATAACCCTGCATTCAAAATGAGCCGTCCTTGGGGAATCAAATTCGGCACTTTACACTAAGGCTTTCCTCGATGTACCCATTTAATAAAGTTTCTTCTAACCAGATCCGACTGTCTGTGCTACACATATGCCACAGGCTCCTTTTCTTGATGACTTGCACAGCCGCCACGGATGCCAAGACTGAATGCCAGGAAAAGCGTGCAACGTCAGCCACTCTTTTTTTTTTTTTTTTTTGACGTTACCGAACAAGCTCTTTTTTGTCCAGATACGCAAGATGCACACAGTTTCTCAGATAGAACGCTCACCATCGTTCTGGCCGTCTGAATTTCGTTTATTGAACGTTCTCTTAGGTTGTTCAGCGTGGTCTGGTGCTTTACGAGTCCGCCAACTCCGTCGCATGCATTTTCCCATGTCTAGATGCAGAAAATAACCACTGCGATTGTGGGCAATCATTCTGTGCAAACTGGTAAAGCTGGTAGCGATTCTTAAAATGACTAGCGGCCCCGTCACTTACGTACGTCACGTGCGAGTATACCGCAACGTTGTCTTCAACCCACTCTTTTACCTATTCTCGAGCCAAGCACGTGAGAGCGACGTCGTCACACAGGTCCTCGCTGATGAGAGAAACACTGTTTGTAGATTTTCTTGCCGTCACTAAACACTTAAATATCGTAGCTTTTTTTTCTTCAGTGGTATGCTTGAACTTTGTCAGGAAGCACGATGGTCCAGTTTTCAGCAAAGTCAAAATGAAAGAAGCACCGTTGAAAATTGGGCAAGTTGGTTATGCATAGTTACGAAGAGGGAACCGTCTAAAGTACGAAGGACGAAGAACGAGAAACACACAGACTGAGCGCTGACTGACTATGCCGGAAGGTGGTTTCCAGAAATAAGCCAGTTGTCAGTCAGCGCTCGGTCTGTTTGTTCCTCGTTCTCTGTTCTTCGTACTTTTGGAGCTGTTTCCCTCTTCGTAGCTATCAAAATGAAAGACAATGCTCACGCGTTGCGTGCAACTGCTCTTCATCTTAGATCCCTTTATCCTGCGTTTGTCGGATATGGTTGTGAAATATCCAACTTCCAACCGTTACTTGAATGACTTTTAGGAAAGTCTCGGAATCCAAGGTTTACTTAGTGTGTTTTTTTTTCGCTAGGTCGCCGACCTTCCATGTTTAAGCACAATATCTTCATCCTCTGGGATATGAAGTTCTTCGAGTGTAAAAGACTGGCCTTTTTGGGCAGTGATCACAGTCTTCTTAAAGACACCGACTTGTTAGTGGATCGCACAGAAATGCTGGGTTCCTTTCACCAGTGTTGAATGTTGAGCCTGTAACCTTCTCTACAGCGGCAATACAAAGGTAATAAATGGCGCAGCGCATACAAACGCACACTTTCTGGTGTGGAATACATTTCACCCATCTAGGGCGCGAGGAATGCATTTGCGTTAGCCCAACGCCGGAATCAGAATGCTTGTCTTTGTATACACGAAAGGCCTCTCGGATTGAGCGTGTCAGGAAGCGCTTTGGCACGAACGTTTTCTCCCCGATGAGCATGACAGAGATCACGTCCTTCTGGTTGGGACCTTGGCGCGAACATTGTAGCTCGTCTCGCGTGAAGTACTCTAGGGCAGCCGACAGGTTCTCAGGGCTCACATAGCACCTCGTGTAAGGATCCGGCTCATACCACGCGCCATGCTTTTCTTTACCTAAAACGTAAACACTGTCGCCATCCTAACCTTTCCTAGGTTAACATGGCGACAGTGTTTATGCTCTGTTGCATTTAGGCGGTGCTCGAGTATTTTGGGGTTCCGCTCTCTGTCGGTGTGCCTCTTTGTGCCCGATATTATCACCCGCGAAACCAGCGACTGCGATGGCGACAGGCACAGCTGCTCAGTAAACAGGCATCGGCGGCTATATTTGCTGGTTGCAGTGAACCCCCTCATTCTTGACAGCGAGTGGGTAAATGCGAAAAAAGATTGTATCGGCCGTTTTGCCAGAACTAGCGGCGAATGTCGCCTGATACTTCCGTCAACGATTGTGCCATAATCGTGATCGTCGCGAGGAAATTATTGTTGCTAGCCACAGAACACGCAGAAAGGGAATTCTTGAATATGTTTTTTCTAGATATAAGTCAGATATATATATATATATATATATATATATATATATATATATATATATATATATATATATATATATATATATATATATATATATATATATATATATATATATATATATATATATATATATAACAGAGAGAGAGATGGAGATAGAGAGTAAAAGAGAGGAGCATATAGTGCAGTAGGAAAATGAAGTAAACAAAGTTCCCAGTGGCCGATGGCTGTAGGATCTTTTCTCAGATCACTGGTTCGTAATATGATAGCTCTTTCTACACAGGAGTTTATCCTCAATATTAGTGTGTGAACGATTTCTGTAGTCATCAATGGCCTCATCTGAATAAAAATATATAAAATATGTGCGTTAGTTTCATGAAACTGGAAATTAGAGTAACTTTTTGTATAGGGCACTGCTAAGTGTAGGCTTTGAAAAAGGACCCTACTTTGGGGAGTTGTTTCTTCTTTCTCAATAAAAAAATGCGACATGTTTTAATAAAAATGAATGCCAAAATAGAGTATAACAGGGTACCTAAATTAAAAAAAAAATCTAAGCTGGTGTTTTTCTTTTTTATTCGCATCGAAATTTTTCGCTGTCTGATTTTTTTTCTGTTATGTTTGCCTACACATATCCTTACTATCGTATCACTGAGATACTTTAGTTATTTTTTTAAATAATAAACATATATAATTAGAATACTACCTGCAGATTATATAATACTGATTAAATTATTTCATGAGATAAAGGCCTCAAAGTTTTGCATTTGTCGTTCGAGCTGGCATATGTAGCAATTTAAAAAAAAAAAAAAATATATATATATATATAAAATTTGAATAAATAATATTATTTTATATTTCAAGCAAGCTTTACCCATAGTTTTCGTCTAAAAAGTGTTAGAATCCTCCTAATTTTATTGTTCTAGTTATTCACTTTCAAACGTACCCCTCCATCAGTGCGCGTTTGTGCAACTGTCCACCTCTTACGATTTTTGCTGTCCCCAAATATTTTTTCTGGTCAAAACTAAGTGTGGATTCGTTTATACCAGACACTAGACGATAGCTTATAAAACATCAGTTGGTTTAAAAATGTCGACCAGCCACCCTTCGGTAAATCTTATCTGAAATCAACCTACTACTAAATGCTCTGTTGCATCCACTTCGAAATAAGCGAGGCATAACACACATGCTCCTGGGGAAAATATGTCCCTTTTTTAAGTAGTCGTTTTCTGAATACATCTTGAAAGGATCCCTATAATTCACAGAAACTGGAGAAAAACGAAAAAAGCCGCGGGGTCGTTGCATACCATACGAACTTCTTTGAATGTAGTAAATAAAACTACTCACAGTCTCGCCCCACTAGGGTGCACAGCAAGCACCAGTTTTGGTTTTGCGGTAAAGGCTGGACTTTATGGAGCGAGCATACTGCGAAGAAACGACGAAATAGACCGATCTCACCAGCTAGTTTGAGTACGCCACCGCTGCCGCCATGCATCGTGGGAGCTGTAGTCTTTCTGCACGCGCGACAACCCCGCTGGAGCTCTGCGCGAGCGGAGCAGGAGGCGGCATGAGCTGTCTCGTGATCTGGCGTCTGCCTCATATGAACTACAGTTATGGCGGCGTCACGCATGCGTAGAAAGCTTGGTGAGATCGTCCTATTCGCCCTGCCGCGTTTGCTCTATTCACATCACGCGCAAGGCAAACGTGCCGCCGGGCGCACAGTCGTCTGTTGTAGCGCCGCATCTTTACACCCACAGAGTCCAGCCTCCAACACTAGGGACCTTGATCAAACCGTTGCCATGCTCCGGGTACCGCAGTACCGGAGTCAGTCAGTCAGAGTCTTGAGAGCAAGGAAATCAAAGGAAGTGTGGCTGAGCCGGGAGCTCAATATGTCACCTTTTGCAGTACCGGAGCCTTTGAAGCATGGTTTTAAGCACGCCCCCCGCGGTCACTGCACCACCCGTGAGGGCGCTTAAAAGCCTGCTTCAAAGGCTCCGGTAGTGCGGTACGCGGCAGGGGCTCCGGAAGCGGGGGGGCAGGGTGGGCTTGAGCCCCTCCTGTCCTGAGGACCGAGCTGCCGAGCCCCCCCTCCCCCTCTCTCTCCCTCTTTTTTTTTTTTTTTTTTTAGTTTGCGTGTTTGCAGGTTATCTGGTATGGGCATTCGGCCTATCTGCTGTACCTCCGTCTGTCCTGAGCCGAAATAAATGAAATGACCCTTTATGCATGCTAACCTACCGCCCTCCTTACCTCCGCCAAGCACAAAAAGCACTGGGGCGGCGGAGAGGCTTGCTTGAAAAGTCAAAACCGGAAGAAAATGACAGGCAGGACTCATGAGCCTGATTGACAACCAGTTTAGAGCGAGCAGAAAGGGGACAGCGAAATGAATGGATTCCGACAAGACGACGTCGGCGAGCGTTTGTCTGCTTCCACCGTGTGGAAGGAAGAAGCCCAGAAGATGCATGGTGCTTCTCTGGCCCGCGGACAAAACAGGCAGGCGGTACTACCGCGGCGCTAAAAGGCCATCATTAGGAGGGGGAGGGGGGCTGGTGTGCTTGAGTGGGGATTCGGGAGTGCTTAGAAAAGGCGAAAGTCTACGAGCTCCCAAATTTGACAAGGCGCGCCTTCAATGGCGAAAGCTTTGCGCGCATGCGGCGTCGTGCCCGCAGGGTGGTGAGGTATGAGGCGACACATGTTTACAAACTCAGGACAACACAACAGGAAGTCTCAAACGCAGCTCTTATCCTTCAGCACCTTCCTTTTGTGATGCCCCCCAACCTGCATTGATGCCAGGAGTCCGAAGCGATCACGGTCGATGTACTTGATCCTGAGGTACATACCGATGTGTGCAATCTCTGCCTCCAGTTGAGACATCCGATAGCCCAACTTGCTGTGTTTGAGACTTTGTGTTGTGTTGTCCTTTTTTCCCCCGAGTCTCGGAGTTTTGTCTAAAACTTTTAACACTTGTTTGTGTACGTCTGCGTTAATACATCATGCTTCCCGAGAATCCCTAAATGAAGGAAGGTTTTCATTTTTAGACATAGCCAATTTGACATAGGCAGAGCTGCGCTTGATATGTAACAGTTGGCATAGGAAAGATAAAATAAAGAACACACGGTGCGGCTGATTTCAATGATTATCCAATCATTGTATGAGTTGTCAGTGCAAGCTCCTTTTCCTGTTATTTTACTGAGCCATTGTTTTAATTTGTTTTCCATGGATGTGTGCGTGAATATGCGAACGCGCTGCATTGATATGTTTTCATTCAAAGATGGCAATTAATGTCAACCTGAAACCAACCTAACCTTGAAGATTTCGGAGATGTCGAGCCACCCCTCTAAAGAAAGACTTCCGGAGCCTCTGGTACGCGGAGCACGGCAACGGTTTGCTAAGGTCCCTCTTGTCAAGGTTTTGGTAAACGACGGCAGTAGCACTTATCCGCACAAATGCTTTGTTCTGTATTTTTGTCCAATGGGATAAACGGAGACATATGAAAACGTTGCTACTGTCGCTGAAACACCAAGAAACGCAGGAGGCTCGAACATTATCTTGTATCTACGCAGTGAATGAAATCGTGGCTTTAACTAATAATCACCTGGAAGAACGAATCATCAACAATAAGCGCGAAAATAAAAGGTTACGTCCTGCGTATCTCAAGTTTTCGGTGGCTAAAAACAAAACAGTCGTGAATCGCGCAGTGTTGAGGCCAAAGTGCTGATCGAGAAAATGAGACACAAATTCAGTAGCTTAAAGTGGACGGTTTTAATAAACGAACGGCTTATACATAAAAATGTACTAGTTAGATTTCGCAGTCGTCTTACACTATCTGCGCTGGAGGCACAGATGCGCTGGTGCTTGTTCCAAATCCGCAATTTTGGGACTATAGCCTTGAATATCCTGCCAGCCTAAAAGTGAACACCTCGACCGCCGCCATATTTATGGTGTAAAATAATTCCCATATAATGTAAGTTCCTTATAATGGTGTTGACCCTATTATCGTACATCTATTTATTTTCTTGCGATACACCACACAACCAAGTGAAAAAACCTTTATACCAACACCCTACAATGAACCCATCGATCTATCCCTAAAGCAACCGTGTTCACAACGCAGTTCAACGACACGCTCGACAGAATGGTCAAGGACCTCGGATGCACTGAAAGACTCTGCGCCGTGCGAAAGCTGTGCGACCACGAAGATGTGGTAAGCATGTTTGACCCCCTTTCCGGAGTATCTTTATAGTGTTGTAGCGCGAGGAAGGCCCAGAGAAAATAAATGAAAGCTTTGGAGAGATTCGGTGTAGGAAAGTACATCGCATTCTTTTGTACCGCGCCGACCCGCGTACGTGACCAGTTCTGAGCCGATATTACGTAGTTTACCGTCGTCTTTTCACCGACCACGCATCGGGCACGACGACTTCCTGCGTCTGGAAATGCTTGGTTTTCCGTCCGCGTCCGGCGGTACCCGATCCGTTGGGATTCTCTATTCTAAACGTCGGGGAGCTGTACGATTACTCTAACCCTTAGAAGCAAAAAAAAAAAAAAAAAGGATACTTGCCTACTGACTGACAGCTGAGAAAGCGCAGGTCGTGGCGCGTCTCCACAATCTCATTATAGCCCCACAGCCAATCAGATTGTAAAAATTAGCCGCGATAAGGGTACCAACACACATTACGCACAAGCGGAACAAGCTAGGCCATGCCTTTGTTTATTTACCAGCGACTACAGCATGAGACATGAGACCTAAAATATATAGTCTGCCCTCTCGCACTGAGCCAACACCATCTAGAATAATAAAGGCCTCCGAACGCCCCACTCTTACTCCATGGAAGGTCATCAGAGGGGGATGACTCCAACTCGGCAATTGGACGCCGAGCCTCATGCCGAGCGTCCTTCGACGCGTTGATTAGTCACGAGGCCAAGTCGAGCACTGGCGCAACACTCGTGCCCAATCTGCGTCTTCGCTCGATCTCATTGTGATGACGTCAAAATTAGAGCGCTCGCAGGCTTCGATTATTGTGGGTGGTGTTGACTGAGCACGGCAAAGCGCCGTGCTTTGTGCCGCAGCGCAGACGCTTCTTTTAGGTCTAGACCCATTGTCAGCCACGTCACTCACCGAGCTCTTTTCGGTAGATTGGCCCTCCCAATCGCTTTGGGGGAAAGTATACTTCCCCATATTGGTAACGGGAGAAAACAGCGAAGAAAGTCACAGGGACAAGTAGACGAAAGACACAAACACTGCACTAACTCACGACTTAGATTTTTTTTCTTCGAAACATAAAAGCAATGAAGTGGAAAAAAATTATAATCTTGAAAGAACCAATCAGTCGTGAGTTGTTTATACAGCAGTAGTTTAATCTGCCAGATTATAGCGACATTGTTACCCACTGTAGACGAGCAATTTAGTTTGTTCAGCGTACGACTGCAAGCCTGGGGTCTTTAAAGTGCACCACGCTGTAATACACGACCGCACGCCGGTACAATGCTCATCCGGATGGTAACGGGCAGGGATCTTGAAGAAGAAAAAGAAAACGAAGTCGTGAGTTAGCGCTGTGTTCCTGACTTTCGTTTACTCTTCCCTGTGTCTTTTTTTTTTTTTTTGTGGTTTTTTCTTCCGTTACTAAACTCAAGCTTCAAACACTATTACACACCCTCCATATTGTTTAGAGTGAGTTAGGCCGCCAGCCCGCTGGTGCACTCGAACATTCCGTCTTCTCCTTTAGGATAATTCTTAATAGCAAAATTGAAAAAAAGAAGATAATTAACCGAAAGGCTCGTTTTTATATTGGATAAAGAAACTGCGAAAAGCTATGCATCGAATGTTAAGAAACCTGATTCACGAACAGGTACATAGCGTTCTAAATCGACTTGACTTTATTATAATACCTTCGCACATGCGCAGCAAAACATTTATTTAAATATATTGCGTTGCTTCCCCTGATGAGGACCAGACAGGGCGTAATATTCAAAATATAAACCGACGAAACTACCTACGCCTCGACACTGTGCAGACGGATCAACGTACGGTCTCCATTTTTGCTGCAAGCGCTTTGACATTGGCTATGCAGTCTTGAATTAGATGACGCGATCAGCTCTTCTTACTACCGCATGGCAGTAGGCTCAAAATATTTATTTTATTTCCAGCGCATATTGTTTACGCTATTTCAGAGCGTGCACGTTTTTTTTTTTTTTTTTGTTTTTTTTTTCTTTTTGTATTTGATGATCGATATTAACACAAAACACCCTTTGTTTACTCTTGTTGTTTCCACAGGAGGGGGCCTTAAGGAGACATGTGACAGTAAGCCTGCCTTTTGTAGCCACCGTATCTTTCGCAAATTTAAATCTGTATTGAAAAAAAAATAATAAGGCCGCGCAAATTATTTTCCAGTCACCGCGATCAACACTACCAAGAATTATCAAAGCTTGCGAACGACGCTTTCTTGTTCCATGAAGCGTCATCAGAGTTGGATGACGCCAACTCATCGATTAAACCCGAGATTTATGATGAGCGTACTTCAACGCGTACTTCGACGCGTCACGAGGCCATGGGCCTCGTGACCTATCAACGCGTCGTTGTCACTCTACAGTACTTTAAGACCCTAAGTACATTGCGTTCAGTCTGTGTCTTCGCACGATCTCACTGTGGTGACGTCAAAACTCTTGCGCACAGGCTTCAATTATTCAAGGAGGTATCGCCCAGTCCTTATGAGAACTATATACACCAACTAAGTGTTGATAAACGAGCGTGTCGTCGCCCTTCATTTTTTGTTTCCTCTTATTTTTATCACTTCGCTCCATGATTACCACTGCAGGACAGGTTATTGCCATTCTAAATTCGACTGTGTCCTTCTCTCCAGCATTTGCCCTGATGGAAGCTCGCCGAAGCCTGCTTCAGTGGCTTGATATCTCGGCTTGGTATCTATACCCGTGGAGGACTGTCTCTGGCTATGTGCAGTCAAAGATACGGGAGGGCGTGTTTGAGTGCCAATCAAAGCTGGGCCACACGCATTCCTCCTCTCGTCTAAAATATCACCAAAAGTTGCCCGCGAGCCAATTTTCATTGTCACATCAAGAAAACAAATTTGCTCATTCTTCATGCGCTGTGTGAAGTAGTTCTTGCGATATTTCGTTGTGGAAGAAAGTGACGATGTTCTTGGCGCTTGAAACGTGTAAGTCTCGATAAAATGACATAACGAAAATCTAAGAGGAACCTACATATACGCACGAGCGAGAAAATTAGTAGAGTTTCGCGAAGTGCCGGACTTTACCTTTTGCTTCTTGAGGTGAATACGAGTATAGGATATTTGAAACCGACGCAATAGAATTTTTGACATCATCACAGTGAGATTGACCAAAAACACAATTAGGATGCGAGTGGTGCGTCAGGGTTCGGCTAGGCTTTGTGTATAATCAACGAATCTCTTAACGCATTGATGAAAAAAAAAAAAAAAGAAATGACCGCAATTAGAGAGCGAAACGTCGGAAAATCTCCACCGCCGTGAAATGAGGTCAAAGATATCAGATACCAACTCAGTACTGTGACTTTACACCACTGTGGTGGCGCTGCTGTCGGCACAGTGCGCGCGCAGACGACTCCTCTCAAGAGAATCTTGTGTCTGCACACGCGCAAGGCCCTGGTGTGGGCAAAGTGCGGACTTCTGTGTAAACAGAGTGTTCAAGTATCTCTGTGTTCTGAGGCAAACTGAACTCACAGGTTCTTTTCAGAGCGAATACGCGCTCTGGCTGGCTTGTTTTCTGACACGTCTCGCTTATGCAAAACGTTAAAAAAAAGTCACAGGTATAAAAGCTGCTTTTGTATATTTTTTTACTTTCGACGATTTGCCACGTGACTGGTCTTCCGTGCAATGTTATTCAAGTTGTTTCATGATTTTGTTTTGTTTTCGCAGGCTGCTCAACTTGAACTGCTGCATGGCTTGACAGACAGCTGTTCAAACTTAGTCAATCGTTGCTCCTCACAAAATCACCACTAAAATAAAAAAAAATTACTTTCTTTAAAATGCCGTGTCATTCAACTGCTTCGTGAATTAACAAAGTGTCGATCATCACACCGACGTATTGTGATGAAAGAGTTCACAATACGAGCGGTCTCTCAAACACCGAGAGCGTAATTGCTAGAATTAAATTCGTCTGTTCAAGAAAATTCGATTCTCCCAGAGTAAATAGACCTTTTCCGAAATTCAGTGCCATCTGGTGGTTTGTAAAGCAGTTTAGGTTTTGCCATATCAATGGCGGAAATGAACTTGTATCGGCACCGTCACTTTCGCAAGTCAACAGCACGCAAGGAATTGTTCAGTGTGTTCTTTCTCGATCACTTTCAGTTCGACGGTGACCAAGAACCTGCATTCAGAACAAAGCTACAACCCACTCAGATGCCTCGAGAAAATTCTATACACCAAAATGCTTTAAAGCCGACTTTGTGCCGCCCGCAAATTGACTAAATCTTAGTTATTAGAAATAAACGCTTGCGTAGCTCTTGTGTTTCATTCCTACGTCGCATCGTACTGACCCCCCGAATGTACAGGCCTCGCATCATCCGCTTAGAAGCATCTTAAAAGTCTTCCTTTATGAGTCACTAGAAGGCCGCATTGGTATGGCACGGATGCCTTTCCACAGATGATGATAGCGATCAAAGTGGCCAGACTGAATTTTGGAAAGGGTCTATTGCGGATTGTGAATCGGCCACGACGCGCACTTTCATACTTGTTAGTAGCAGTAACCAGAGTGAATAGAATTAGTACTCATTGCAGCTGGTACAAACTCTTTGATAAATAAACAAATGCTCACGGTGTCTTCTGCCGTCGAGATATAATATGACCTTCATTTTAGCCTAACTGCAGAGACATTCCTGCACGTCTGTTTTTCCGAAGATCTCGTAACGGACCAATCATTGGGATCTACGGATCGCGTCCAAGGAATGCCAATGAGCAAAAAAAAAAAGATCCGGCAAGGGCACCACAGGTGGACATGAAAAACCACGCGTTCTGTTATGCGTGTGAGCTCATGAGGTTTCTTCGGCTTCCTCGGTTCTTTTTTTTTTTTTCATTTAAGCATTCACAGCACCCAGTGCCGAGCAGCTATGAGGCAGTGCAGGTGTTATTAGAGATTGTGCTGTATACCAACTATAGACGCTTTCAGGCAGCTGCGCATGGGCGCCGCGATAACCGACTTCCAGTATTTGTTCCCACTTATTTCGTTCGCTCCACTTCATCATTGAGACAGCAGGGCAGGTTATTGCCATTTTAAGTGTTACTGTGTCCTCCTCCCCAGCATAGGCCTTTGTGGAGGCTCGCAACGTCCGCTTCAGTGCCTCGGCATCTCGGTACGACAAGAGAAGGTCGGCTATGGCGGCTCAATCTGGCGCGCGCTGAAAGCGTCTATACACGCCAAGTTGAGGGATTTTCAAACCCGTTCACGCCCGGCGTAAGCGGGTCTCAAAATACAGCGAGCGCACATTTGAATGCCCAATGGGGCGTGAATGGAAACCAGACATGTACAAGTTACTAAAAAAAAGTAATTGAGTTAAGTTACTAAGTATTGACCTCAAAAGTAATTTGAGTAGAGTAGAAATTACTGAAATGGAAAGTTATAGAGAAAATTACTAATTACCGTAAAAAGTACAAAATTACTTTTGAAGTTACTTTTTTATGTATTTTTATGGCAACAAGAAAGTACATAGGTTTTGATTCGTTGGCGAAATTGTGCTAGCCAAATAAGAATCGGCCTATTTTTCACAGATAGGCTTTAATAGCTGGTTCTGCTTCTGCGTGCATAATTGTTTTGTACTTTTTTTGTTTTTTGGTCAATGATGTACTGCGAATGTATCATTTCTACTTTGAGGTTTAGCACTGCCTGAGCTTGCTTGATTTTTTAGACAGTGTTTGCTTGTTTACAGTGCTGCGCAAGGTACATCTAAAAGTACTTTAGGTAAAGTACAAAGTAAATGAAAGGTTATGTACTTCAAGTAGAATAGTAAGTACACCGGGTGCAATCTACTTGAATTAACGTACTATAAATACTGTATTTATTTTTTATTTATTTCAGATACCCTCAGGGCCAAAGGCATTAGAGAGGGGAGTGGGTACAATGTATAAGTATAAAGTTAAAAAATGCAGTGGTTATTAGTACAGTAAATTGACTCTTATTTATACAATGTTAGCTATGGCGTTCTTGAACTGCTGGGGATCTTTGATTGTTGCTGTCGGGGCGGGAAGGCCATTCCACTCCACTGATGTGCGAGGAAAGAATGACTGAAAAAAAGCATTAGTTCTACACGATGGAATCCCGACTTTATGAACATGATCTAATCTAGATGAGATGTATTGGGGGGGTAAAATATGTTCGGCGCGCAAGGAGGGATGAAGAAACAGTTTGTGAAAGAGACAAAGACGAGAGATTTTGCGGCGGGATGTTAGGGATGGCAGATCAAGGTTAGATTTCATTGTACTGATGCTTGCAGTTCTATTATAGTTGGACAATATGAAACGAACAGAATTATTTTGAACCATTTCAAGTGAGTGTATCAAGTTTTCGTGGCTTGGATCCCAAACTGAAACGGAATATTCGAGTTTAGAGCGAATGAGGACCTTATAGAGTAGTAGTTTTAGGGATGAAGGGGCTTTAGCAAAGTTACGTCGAAGATAACCCAACATGCGGTTAGCGTTATTAATGACGTACGAGGTGTGAACGCTCCAAGTTAGGTTCCATAAAATGTGGACACCAAGGTATTTATAAGAAGATACGGCGTCTAAAGGCACATTATTAAGAGAGTAGACGGGCGAGTTAATAGTTTTTCTAGAGACACGCATAAGTTTACATTTGTTAATGTTTAGTTCCATGCACCATGTTTTGCACCATACAGAGATGGCGTTAAGATCAGATTGAAGAGTGGTTATATCGTTATCACATAAAATTTCCCGGAAAATTACACAGTCATCTGCAAACAAATGAATATGGGAAGAAACACAAGAAGAGAGGTCATTAATGTAGATAAGAAAAAGGAGAGGGCCAAGCACAGAGCCTTGGGGCACGCCGGAGTGGACGCCACTTGGGGGAGATGTGAGGCTGTTAGCTGAAACGAACTGAGAACGGTTAATGAGGAAGTATTCGAGCCATATAAGAAGTTTGGGATAGAGATTAAGCTGACTTAATTTAAGAAGTAAAAGCTTATGACACACCTTATCAAATGCTTTTGAAAAGTCTAAAAATATGCAGTCGGCAAGTGATGATCGGTCAAGAATGGCGTTTAGTTTATGAGTGAAAGATACCAATTGAGTTTCGCACGAATAAGTTTTACGGAAGCCGTGTTGTGAAGGTGTGAAAAATGAGTTCGATTCAAGAAAGTTAGCGAGGTTAGAAAACAGAATGTGCTCGAAAATTTTACACGGGATGCTTGTAAGCGAAATGGGTCGATAATTAAGGGGAGAATTCTTGTTACCTGATTTGTGGAGTGGAACAACTTTTCCCACCTTCCACTCAGCAGGGAGATAACCATCGTCAAGGAACTGTTGGAAAACTTTTGATAAAATGATAGAAGAATAAACACTGGTACTTTTTAAAAATTTTGGGTCAATTAAATCGCAACCAGGGGCAGAAGATTGTTTGAGTGATCTAATTACGCTTTCAACACCACTGTGATCAATAATAACAGGAAACATTGCAAGGTAATCACATGAGTTTATATTAGGCAATGGGACGTCTGTAGTTACGGAAAAATTGCGTGAAAATATATCATTAAGAACGATGGCACATTGATTAGAGGGAATGACATTACCATCACTGTTGACGAGGGTGATATCGTTATTATCTTTTGGGTTAATAACACGCCAAAACTTTTTTGTGTCAGTTGTTAGCATGACTGGCAAAGTATTTTGAAGATACTGTGCTTTAGCTTCTCTTATCGCTGTTACGTATTCCTCGGAAGCAAGCTGATATGCGGCCCAGCGCGCATCGTTTGAAGAAAGTTTAGCTGACCTGAACAGTCGTTTTTTTTTTTTGTTAGATAGACGTTTAATGCGAACGTTAAACCACGGTGCGTTACTGTTAGAGATAATAGTGCGAGTAGGGATGTACTTATTCGTTGGAGCATTAACCTTGGTTACAAACATATCAAAGTTATTTTGTACGCTACGTTTATCAAAATCCTTCAAAAAAATATCAAGAAACACGGATAATCCAGAATTAATGGCTTCAAAGTTCGCATTCCTGTAGTTTCGAATAGTTTTCACTTTTTAATGGTTTTAGGTCGCTACAGGTTTATGTGTAGTGATAGCAGGGAATGATCGCCCAGGCCGGGTAAATAACTGATATCAGATACAAGATCGGGCTGAGGTGTTAGTATGAGATCTAGGACGTTTGCGACATATGAGGTCGTTCTGGTAGGTTGTTTCACGAGTTGTGTGAATAAAAAGACAGTGCACATTTCTAAAAATTCATTATCTAAGGTGGAAAAGGGGGCCATACTGGGTGTCTCGCCATTCCATGTTATATTTGGAATATTGAAATCACCAAACAAAAATAAAGGTAACGTGGGATAGCGAGTTCTTCAAGGTAAAGCACGAGTACGTTTAACTGAATCTTTCATGATGCCCTTCCATTCCCCATAGTGTGTTTTTTTTTTTTAACCAGAATGCACTGTTCCAGAGGAGCATCAGCTTTTTACTGAAATGGCAGAAAATATTGTATAAAATCACGCCGCCACAGAGTAGTTGTTTTACTCTCAGTGACAAGCTGTTTGACACAATAAACGTATAAGGTACTTATTTGTGTCGGTCTTATATCCGCCCTTACTTCACTCAGAGAAATTACCAGGTGACGTCTCGAAAGAGCGCGTTTTCGCACGACAATACGCCACTTTTTATTTTCAAATTCAGGGAATGTACATTAAAGTCGGGAGTTTTACTTTCTTCGGAGAGTACCAGAAAAAATACCTTAGTAAAGTACAAGTACATACTCAGAGAATATACTTAAAGTAAAGTACAAGTTTTCTTAGCAGTAT